ATGCTAATACTAAGAAATTTTGTTTTTAAAAAAAAAAAAAAAAAAAACCAGTACGTGTAGTTGTGATATCGCAGCTAACTTTTAGCGCGAGCCAATGTGAGGTAAGCCCTGTACGAGTATAAGTTATATTTGTATACCTTCGCGAGAAAGGATGGACGCGTCGAAAAATAAGTGACCGCGACTATCGGGGTAATAATCTACAAGAAGTCGACGGGAGCGAAGAGAGTGAAAGTGATTTCTTGCGCTTTGCTATACGTATACTATATATATATAGACGCGGGCGCGTTTTCACCCCCCATATATATAATATATACAAATCCACGATGTATGCATAGCCAAAACGTGTATTATTACCCGTCTCTTATTAAGTACTACGAGCTTCATTATACGATGTACGAAAATAATGATTTCATTTTCATTATTTCAGATCGCAATTAATTGTAAAGATTCCATGTCCACCGTAAAACCGATTTTTATCGGTAAGATCGATCTTTTTTTTTTTTTTGAACGACACAAATTAGGTATACATACAATACAGGTAATAAATGTATATATATATGGAATATAAGTGTGTACCTCAGCATGCGTGCCCGGAAGCGAGCGACAAAGCAACAAATCGATCGTCCATCAAGCGTGAAACTGATGCTCCTCAACGGGGAAAGTACTTAAAAAATGTGACAAAAAAATAATATCCGATAGCACAATTATACCCCACCCTGGGGAAGGTATATATAAAGATCCGCACTAGTTATACGTTGCACTGCGTAGGTAGAAAAAAAAAAAAAAATCACCGCGTGTAAGTATATAAAATACTCGAAGGAAGAAAAACTCTCGGTGGGTATACTATCTATTTCGTTACCCGCGCGAAGGCTAAAGTCCGACTGAAAAATCGCAGACTGGAGTTGCCGGTCGTCCGGTGGGTGTGCGCGTGTATTTCGCGATGCCCCTCTATAGGCACCAAACACGAGCTTATCCGGGAGCCGACATCCTCCCGCGATGGGGTGGTGGGGCAAGAGACGCGTCTGTAAGACCCCTTTCGACTCCCATACGTATATGTAATGTACAATCTGTACGTATGTATATACTTGTATGCCTATGTGTGAGGGGGGTGCAACCAGCGGAACGCTTAAACTGCGGTAAGTACACCCGTAAATATATGTATACATATATATACATACTCTGATGATGATGATGATGGCGCACTGTCGAAATGTGTAACGCGCGCGCACGCGTGCATGCATGCGTGTATTACCATTTTCTTGTATGGCTATGTGCTGCACGTATATACTTACCTCTCTGTATAATATATAGTGCACATTGTTGATCATAATTGATTCTTTTTTTTTTTTTTTTTTTTTATTTATTTATTGACATTGCAGTGAATTACACATTTGCGCGACTCCCGAGTTGAATGATTTATTCATTTGAATTGGAGTGCCGTTCAATCGCAAGTCCATTCCTCAATGTACGAACAATTAGCAAAAGGGTATTTTGTTAAAACTCTTTGCTTGGATTAATGTTGATTTGACTCTAGCAAGAACGGGATGGTCGATTTTTCAAAAATCTTTCTGTACGCTTGGGTCTATAATACATCGCTTTTTTTTGGTCACTTATTAGAATCATAGCTGTTTGTGTTTACTCT